ATTGAAGTAGCAGCAGAGCAGAGAGGCAGTCGCTCGTTAAGCTTAACGCAGGAATGCTTTACAAACATTCAGAGATGGACTTACACACTTGCTTTACTTCTCTCGGGATAACTTTGTCGGAGATGAAATGCCGGGTTGCTAGCGAAGCTCCACATGCTATGCTCCGACGTGCTAACGTTCTGAGGTGAGTTACGGCGTGTTGCAAGTTTTGTGAGGTGCTTTCGTGATATTTAATGGATCGGATTACATTTTTTATTTTTCTCCGATATCCCGATCCAGTAATTTAGGTCAGTATCGGACCGATACCGATACGTAATATCGGATCGGTCCATCTCCTTGATTGCCTCCCTTCCTCGGAGAATCCAATATTTCCTCCTCATCTCCCCGAACACTCGTTCTGGCCCAGGGTGCAACAGCTGCTCATCGTATTGCCTGATCAGTAGTTTAGTCACCGGATGCTGCGGATCAAGGACTATGGGGTGCATGGCATCCAAGTCCAGACCTTCTGCTCTTCTGAGTCTTCCCCCAACTCTTATCAGTCCAATAGCCGGATCATACTCTGGAGCAAGTGTTAGCAGGCGACTCTGCTTAAGAATTGCCTTACCAGCAACCAGGGCCTGTAATTCCTCGGGGAAGCTATCATTTTGAGCTTGTTTCAGGAGATGCAGCTCAGCAGCTGATACATCTGTAGCAGTCATGACATGGTTTTCGTGATCAGCAGCCGCCCCATGAAGGATCCGATGGGTAGCCTTAACCGCTTCACTCCATTTGCCAAAATTGGAAATTGGCACCGTTTGCTGTGGACTGCATGTGGTGGTGGTTCCACAGAATGCTGTTCCTCTCAGCTCCCCATCGTCTTCTTGACCTTCACCTTCATGGAGAGTTGGCCAGGTATCAGGGTTCGTTAAAAGGAAAGGTGGGCCCTGAGTCCAACGGTTTGGTTGACTCAGCTCGAGAAGGTTTTTCCCTCGCGTGAGGTCATCAGCCGGATTGTCCTTGGTGTTGACATATCTCCAACTTGACACCTCAGTAAGATCTTGTATTTCGGCAATCCTGGTACCAACAAAGACCTTATAGCGGCATGAATCAGATTGGATCCAGGTCAAAACGGTTGTTGAGTCGCTCCATAGGGTAATGTCACTGGGTTGAAATGCCAGCTCGGTCTCCAGTACTCTAGCCAGTTGGGCTCCGGCAAGAGCTGCACATAACTCCAAACGTGGCATAGAAATCTGTTTCCGGGGGCTTACTCTTGACCTCGCCATCATGAATGCCACGTGGACGTCGCCTTGGGAGTCCTGTGTTCGCAGATAGGCTACTGCTCCATAGGCTCTTTCGGAGGCATCACAAAATATGTGAGCCCCTCTATCCGGTCTCCCGACGTCGGCTCTTGGTGGGACATAGCATCTTGGTAGTTCCACCTGTGGCAAGTTCACTAGTTCCTTCTCCCACTGTGTCCATCTGTCTAGTAAGGCCGTAGGATGGATTTGTTCATCCCATCCAACTCCTGCCTTCCAAAGATCCTGAATTAGAACCTTTGCTCGAGTTGAGAAGGGTATGAGGAAGCCCAGAGGATCATATTGTGATGCCATCACCCGGTAAACATTTCTCAGTGTGGGCAGAGAGTACTCCACAGGTCGATGCCTGTATCCAAGGCGGTCAGTGAGACAGTTCCAACGAAGGCCCAGAGCTGGTTCTTCTGGGTCTTGGCTGTGCTGGGAGAGCCAAAGCTCTGTGCTGGCTGCTTTGGCTTCCATTGGTAGGTGCTCCACCACCGATGGAACATTACTGGCCCATTGCCTAATCTCGAATCCCCCTTTGGCGAATAACTCTCGCATCCGATCTATGAGTGTCTTAGCCTCCTCTGCAGATTGGAGACTATGCAAACAGTTATCGACGTAGAAGGCCCTCTCCACCGTGTCCAAGATATCTTCATTACCCTGGCTGTTGTCCCTGACATGTCTTTGGAGGGCATAGGTGGCACAACAAGGACTGCACGTTGTACCAAAAGGCAGAACCTGCCACTCGTACACACTTGGCTCCTCATCCTTCCTCATAGACCTCCATAGGAAGCGGAGCAGAGGTTTGTCTTCAGGCAGCAACCGAATTTGGTGGAACATTGCCTTGATGTCACCACTTATGGCCACAGTATGCTCCCTGAAGCGGAGGAGGACCCCAAGCAGTGAAGGTCCCAGAATTGGACCTGGAAGCAACTGGCTGTTGAGGCTGAGCCCGTTGTATTGGTATGAGCAGTTGAATACAAGTCTAGCCTTGTTGTTGTGGTGAACTACATGGTGGGGTAGATACCATGACTCGCCCGAACAATCCACCTTCTCAGGTGATAGTTTCTCAACATAGCCTACCACCTCCAGTTTATGCACTTCCTGACAATAGGTTTCAGCCTGCCCTGGGTCTCTCGCTATCCGACGTTCAGTACTCCGTAGCTGTGGTAGCAAGGCCAGTCTGGGTGCCCAGAGGCGAGGACTGTCTTTGCGACGGAGGAGGGGCGTTGCATATCTTGTCACTCCCTCCACCTGCACTCTGGTTGTGCGCTGCTCAAGAGCTTCAAGTGCTTTCTGATCTTCCTTAGAACGTGTCGCGGTCTTCACATTTGTGTATGGGAGTACATCTGTCTTCCACAATCGTTCTACATGTTGAAGGAGATCATTGTTTGGGGACCCAGTAAAGAGACACTGTTGCTCTTCCACAGCGAACTGGGTTAAGTTAGCTGGACCCTGCAGAGCCCATCCAAGGCGGGTACAGACTGCCAATGGACCCCCAGGAGGGCCAGACCGTACAGGCTTCGTTGGGACAAGCAGATGAGGGAAGTCTGAGCCAATAAGGACTAAAGGCTGCACCCTGTCGACAGGGGAAAGTGGGAGTCCCTGCAGGTGTGCATATTTTTGCATGAGTGCCTTAACCGGATAACTGTGCTCGGAGAGGCCCAGTTTGTCAGCAGTGAAGGCATGATGGATGTGGTATCTCACCTTAGGATCATGGGCAGGGGAAATCTCAAAGGAGACCGAGGCCCCTTGCAGGTGAATCACATCCTGACGAACAGTTCTTAATGGAAGTGTCTCGGCTTCCTTCCCTAGATTGAGGTGCTGCACGGCTGGTGGTAGGATGATGGATCGTTCAGAACCGTCATCTAGTACAGCAAAGGTCTCCAATGAATACCCAGCATTGTACAGATTAGAGATGGACCGATCCGATATTACGTATCGGTATCGGTCCGATACTGACCTAAATTACTGGATCGGATATCGGAGAAAAATAAAAAATGTAATCCGATCCATTAAATATCACGAAAGCACCTCACAAAACTTGCAACACGCCGTAACTCACCTCAGAACGTTAGCACGTCGGAGCAGTATGCATCACGTGATAGAGCGGCTGTGGCATGCGGGACCTGTCGGTGGTCTGGATAGCATGTGGAGCTTCGCTAGCAACCCGGCATTTCATCTCCGACAAAGTTATCCCCGAGAGAAGTAAAGCAAGTGTGTAAGTCCATCTCTGAATGTTTGTAAAGCATTCCTGCGTTAAGCTTAACGAGCGACTGCCTGCTCCGGCTGCTACTTCAATCATGAAACTGCTTAATGATCAGCTGATCGGCTTTTCTGTCGCGAGTCCTGTCTTGTTTGCTTTTTGGCCCACTTTGCACCAGAAAGAGGAAACCAGCGGCTGAACAACAGCAGCACGTTTAAGCTTGATCAGCTGTTGTTAGAATGTATTTAATATTACTTTCTACTCGAGGATCTTTTTCTACGTAGCTGACGGCTGGTAACTGTGCAGGGGCGGATCTAGCAAAGTTTAGCCAGGGGGGCCGATAGGGCATTGAACAGGGAAAAGGGGGCACAAAGACATACTTTTCTTTCTTATTCTCATTTAAAATGTCTTAGCTTTTAATAAATAATTATCTGACACCCAAAGTTTTAATCTGATGTAAAATGTATAGAAGTCCATTATTGTATATAGTAACTGTTAAGTCTAATATACCCTAGTAAGCTATAGTACTTTTTCCTTTGGGAAGGTACCATCTGTGCAGTCTGCAATTTTGTTGAAGAAAGATGTTGAATCTATTTAATATTTCTTGAAAAATAATTGATTTCTGTGCATTTTTTTTCACACTGCATCAAATTAAGGTTGATTACGTCGATTAAGCATCATGAGGTGGAGCGTGAGGGGTGGTTCCCTATTTTTTATTTATTTATTTTTGTTGTTGCTGGGAGTTGGAACCCTATTAGTTAGGTTGCTTAATATTTACGCTAAGTACTCTTTAAAATACCAGAATAGGGAGGATGGTGTAGGTTTAAGTTTATTAGATTGATCAGTATTGCTGAACTATGAAATATTTTTTTTGTATACAGGTATAACAGAATAGCTTTAGTGTAGTTGTTGTTTTAAACTTGAGTATGAACTTAGCTTCAAAATGCAGCAAGATATTTAAAAAACAGTTTTGTTGATTAAAAAACACTATATCGGATTCATATCGGTATCGGCAGATATCCAAATTTATGATATCGGTATCGGTATCGGACATAAAAAAGTGGTATCGTGCCATCTTGTACAGATACACCTTCACAACCTTTAGCAGGACCTTATGAGGACGGTTTGGGTGATCAATGTAGATGGTGGACGTATCTGGGGCAGTGCCAACCATCAGGACTTTCCTAGGCTCCTGTTGGCAAACCTCATGCAGCCATCATCATCATCATCATCATCATCGTTTATTTGTATAGCACTTTAAGAACACACCAGGCAGACCAAAGTGCTGAACAACACAGATCAAAACAACAACCAAATTAAAAATACCATAAAATCATTACAAACAATAAAATAAATAAGAAGGTGTCAGTTTCCTACAGAGTTAAAAGCCAGGGAATAAAAATAGGTTTTCAATCTGGACTTAAAGACCTGCACTGATGACGCTTGTCTAATTTGGAGGGGAAGGTTATTCCAGAGCATCGGAGCCGCAATTGAAAAGGCACGGTCTCCTCTGCATTTCAGCCGCGACTTAGGGACCGCAGCAGCACTGTAAGATGTTGCTGTTTGCACACTTTACAGGGTGCCTTCAGGGTGCACACATCAGGTGCATGATTCCGTCCACAACGCCAACAACCTTTATCTTTGATCCACTCTGCAATTTGGGTGGTGGACAGTGTCTTAAATTTGGGGCAAAGATTAAGGTAGTGCTCACGGGTGTCACAGTATGGACAGTAAGGTTTTGGCTTAATCTTCCCTTTAATGAGAGGTGTCCGATGACCTGGTTCCAGATGAGCTCCATCCCCCTTCCTGTTGTCTGTGTTGTAATACACAGTGGAAGGATATCTTTGGCTTTTCCTGCCTTTCTGACCTTGTTTGGTCTGGTCCTGAAACATGTCGGCTGCCCTACTAGATATGCGCTTGGCCTGCGACTTCACTTGGAGCCAGGCCGAAAAATCTGGCAGGGTATATGTCTTGTCAGTTCCAGTTCTCAGTATCCCACGACTGAGGCTGTACTCAACAAACCCATCTCTGTAGCTTGCTGGGAGCTTACTCAGTAACTTATCGACATGAGAGCCACATCGCAGTTCGTAGCCGTTTTCACCTTCCAGTGATCGAAGCATACCTACTAAAGCTTGCACATCCAGAGCAAAATTGTCAAAGGCTTCTGGGTCCCCCACCCGGATTTGGGGAGAGTTCAGGATAGATCCAAGCTCACTCTGTACGAGCTGACGAGGTTGACCATATTTGTCTTGGAGAGCCTGGAGTGCTGTAGTATATGGCAGGGGATCATGCATATATGCTTGTGCTAGTTTGTGAGCACTTGGTAGTTTTAACTGCTCCAGAAGGATTTGATATTTGAACTGCTCTGTGAGATGAGTATGGCTGCCAAGCAGACTGTCCAGAGCCATCTTAAGAAGCGCGAAATCACTTTCCTTACCACTGGCGAAAGAAGGTAGTGCTGGCTTGGGGATCCCATACGAGCTGGCAATTAGCAGTTCCATCAAGTTGTTGCCATTGCTGGCAGTAGGTGGCAACGGTATCTCGGACTGTAAAGACGGCGCCGTGGGCCCACAGCCAGCTGGTCCGACTTTATCCCGCAGGCGGGACGGTAAATCAGGAAGCGGTAGAAACTGACTGGGTGTTGAGTATGGCACTGGAGGAAGCCATCCCTGATGTTTCACCTTTCCAGGAGGCTGTGATTGTCGGTTAGGAATATTAGAGCTGTCCTCTGCTGCAGGTCGGAGAGTCTGAGTCGAGTAGGTAATAGGGGGGTGATTTCCGCCTGGCTGCTGACCATACTGATGACCAGCTGAGGGAGTGTCCACAGCAGGACTGATATGTTGCGTTGGACACTCATGGAGAGGTTCAGATACTGGCTCCAGGTCAGCCGAGGAGCTGGTGGGATGTAAGGGCTGCGAATCTGGTACTGATGCATCCACTGGCAAGATGGAAGGTGGGAAAGCATTCGCATAGCTGGTCATATTACGTTGCTGTCCGTTATGTGCTGGCTGCTCTGACAGATTCACTTGGGAGTTTACACCACTGCTGCAAGCCTGCAGGCCCGAGTCATACTCACAGTTATTTAAAGGTCTAGGTGCTGGCAGCCCATCTTCTTGATCACGAAGAAAAGCAGCAATGAGGGAAGCTTTCTTTAGCTCCATCTCCTTCTCTTTGAGTCGACGCTGCATTGATAGACGTCTGGTAATAGATTCTCTGGTGTTGTGAGCAGTACGTGCCTCTTCGTCTAATTGACGTCTTTGCCTTTCTTGCTGCATGTATAGTTCTTCCTTCTTACTGAGGGCTTCCCGGGCCTGAGCATCCAATATTAAACACTGTTCCTCAGCTAGACTCTCTTCCATCATCTGCCGCTGCAATTCTGCTAGCTCCATGCCCTTCATCTTCTCTTCCAACATCGCTGTCTGCAAATCAGTTAGCCCTGCGATGATAGAGCCTCCCGAAGGTGAGTGACCACTAGCCTGGGATCTAGGTTTACTGCATTGAGAACCTGAGGCATGTGATCGTGAAGAGGTCGAGCGCTGCCTGGCAGAGCGCTGATCTATAGCCATCCCTGCCTCTGCACCTGCTGTTGGTTTATCGGTGGATGTACCTGATTTGGGTTGATATTCAACTTCATAATCATCAAAGTAAGCCGGGAGATGTCTCTCTCGCTGAGTTTTCCGTCGCACGGATATGTCAGGGATATCCTGGTGCTTAAACTCCATGTCGTCCTCAGAGTAGCTATCTATCCGGCTCGAAGGACCACTTGTTAGAGAGTTATCTCTGGGATGCTGGGATGATAGCTCCCTCAGGACTTAAACTCCGGTCAGAGAGTGGGGCACAGAGAGTGATGTCCGGATATACTTTAATGGAAGTTAATAGCAGCTCAACAGTACAGCAGTAGGCATACTTAACGAATGTGGGAGGGGTGGACAGACGTGTGGTTCTGAATAACAAGAAACAAGGAGAAACAATTTTCACATATAAATATAACACTCGTCACTTCCCAACATCATGCCAATATAATGAACTGTAACACAAATAATCAGCTGAATGCTCTGACATAAGAAAGTCCCACAATCCCATTTGAACAGGCAGGAAACAAGAATACCTACATATCTCAGACAACAGAAAGGACCTAATGCCCCCAAATTAGGAAAGGTCGCAATTACATGGTCTTCAGTGCCCTCTAGTGGCTAAATAACACAACCGCGTACACAGATCCAACCCGCAATAAATGCTACGGTGGTAAGTCACATGCCTCTACCAATCTCGATAAATCTCCTAGCATAAACCCCCTGTAATCAATGTCAAAGTACAACCCGTGCTATAAGTGGAAATAGACTCGTAGAACTGGAGGGATTTTGACTCACATTTGCACAGGAACGCACACGGCTGGAGATCGCTATTCCCCCACACTCATGGAGAAAAACATGGCTAGTGCTCCTCGGACTCGTGATACGGCAGGAGCGTCGTAAAAGCATGTGACGTCATCACCGCAGCAAACAGTAAGAACAAAGTGGAACTTATCGGCAGAAATTAACACTGCACTTATAGCGATCAGACATTCATAAGAATTTGACTAGCATAAAAAGAAAGATGAGATTTGCGAGACTTTATCGAAGGTGTAAGCATCACAGCAGATGCCTTTGTATCAAAGTAGCTGAGGCTAAAACAGAAAAACGATTTTATAAAAATATTCTGCAGTAGATCAAAAACGAAAGAAAACCATTAATCAACATATGAACATTACCTGATACTGCTGAAGTGAAGCAGAGAAAAGTTACAGAGGTTTAGAGACACAGGCTAGCGTTTTCATTTTGCATAATTTTTAAAAAGTTTAATTTGTTCAGTAGCCTACTTGGAGCCCCGCAGGGACATGGGAGAAAAAAAAATTAAGACGGACTTTTGCAGATCTCGCAAAACTTTTGTGGATCTCGCAAAACAAACTCGGGATCTCAGCAAAACTTTTCGAGTCTCGCAAAAGTTTTAGCCGCATTCTTCAGACGCCGGCTCGAAGCCGACCGGGAGGTCGGAGGCACGATGTGCCGGGAAAGCGGTGTTCCTCCCGGCTGTAGTAGGTCTCGCCTCCTACGGGAATGCGGCTAAAACTTTTGCGAGATCTGCAAAACTTTGCGAGATCCCCGAGTTTGTTTTGCGAGATCTCGCAAAAGTCCGTCTTAAGTTTTTTTTCTCCCAGTCCGCGGGCCCGTACTCTGAACAGCAGAAATGAGGTTTTCTTTTCGGAATAAGTAAAAGGAAAAAAAACAGCGGTCCGACAGCGCTGTAAACAACGGTAGACTTGTGCGTAACAAGCAAGCGAATAATGCAGAAAACAGATTTTTAGACGGGAAACTGTTCTTGAAGTACAGAGAGAGAGAGAGAGCTGTGCATGAAGTGTGATTTTATCGTGGTGGAAGCAAAACAGCAAAAGTCAGAGGGAATTCATGGCATGTTTATGTGAAGCGTAGTTTGGATCTTCTTTTGCTGCTGGTTCAGTCAATATTGTTTGGAGAGTAAAACCTACAGCTTCAGAATCAGCGCAAAAAGGGCGTAAACACACAAGGCGCCCGCCGAACAATCAGAATCCAGCGAGCTGTCAGGCTTTCAGGCCCGTAACCGTGTCCGTGCCGTCGGGTGAGAAAGGCACATCTCACTGATTCTGATCGTGTCGGCGGGTCCGCGCTTTGTGTTTACGTCTTTGTGCAAATAGCCTACGTGTATCTGCTGTCATTTACTGTTTTAGCTGTTTGGTGGTTGTTGAAATTTAGTGAGGTTTAACCTGAGATTCTGGCGTTTGGGGCAAAATAAATTTATATTAAAAATCGATTCAGGATTTTAATGAATCAATATCACGTTATCCAAGCTAGAATCGATTTTAATCGATAATCAAAACCCACCCCTAGTAACTGTGTAATCATGCTTATGTACATCTGGATAATGACACAAACTGTGTGGCGCTCCACTTTTTAATAAACTAAAAGACATATCAGGTAAGGATCTGTAGTGTTGTTTATTTATATTATGGTACTTATCAGTTGTGATATTTATTACTGTGTGCATAATTTATTAGAAGAGAAAAAAAATCTCTTCCTTGCTGGTTCCATCGAAGAAAAAATGCTCAAGTAACTATGTAGCACGTACATAATCCAATTCCACAACACAGTGTGATGAGGGAATCAGCTGTGTTTTGCTGCCCATTTTATTTTGAATCTGGCGCGAACCGGCGAGCCAATTCCTGAATCAGTCACGTGGTACTGACTGCCCACGAGGCCTCGAACTATGCATACAATCAAAGCAAGCCTCTATACGCGCTTCACAAAAACTCCCCCGAGATTACTCGACGCACGCTTCGAAGCTTCGACACACAGGACACATCAGTAGTGTTTAATATTACTTTCTAGTGTCAGCAGATGTTTGCTGGAGCCATGGTTGATATCCTTTTGCTGCAGACTCTACACTCTGCCTATGGTCAATAAAATTGAAATGGTTACAGATTTTGCTTCTTTTCTTGGTGTCATTCATTTTAATTACTATACTTTTCTAATATGATGATGTTGTCTCTTGTTGTTGTCCCTTGCTCTCTTTCTCTCCCTCTCCCCCCTGCTCTGTTCCTGTGCTACTGCGAGTGTACCGCTCCTCCCCCCTGCTCCGCAAACATAAGGCAGTGTTTGCGTTCCTTCCCCCTCAACTCAGTGCAAACACAAGGCTCACATGCGGCGTGAAGCGAGAAAGGTGAGAGAGAGAGGGTGAGAGAAAGAAAAAAAAGAAACAAGGCTCCCAATCAAGGGCGTAGATTTGGTTTTGGCATTGGTGGGGATGGATGATTCAACCACCAAACCCTGCCCTGTTTCTTTTTTTTCCTTTTTGTCTTTGCTTCTTGATAAAAAAAAAAAGAAAGAAAGAAAGAGAGAAATATACTTGCCTACATATGCTATTCTACATGCTTTTAAACCATTTAAAATTACAATTCATAGTTTTATATGTGAATTGTATAATGTTAATTACTATTAAACAAATGTATTTTAGACTTTAGATTACCTCAGCCATATTCCATATAAATCGGGTATCATACAAAAGAAAAAAAAAGCTTCAAATACAGTCATGACAATAAAAGAATATGACTTTAAGGACTTAACAACATTACTTCAGTTATATTACACCAACATCTCTTATATACATTAGCACTAAGGGAACACTGAATGACCTGGTGGGTTTTGTCCATAAAACTACTCATCTAAGATTACCACGAAGTAAAAGATCTCTCAGAAAAATTATGCAACATTTAAGCACAAAAATTACTAATGAGGCACTCATATGGATATTGGTGGGGACATGTCCCTTGCGTCCATGCGAAATCTACGCCCTTGCTCCCGATTGTTCTAGGAATCCATCCTACCCGTTGTTTTTGCCCATGCGCACAACACGAAATTAAGTGGCGAACCGTCCTACTAGAAAAATACTCTGATGGGTAAAATTAAGTGCCAAACCATGCTACCTTTGTGAATGTGACCTACAAACATACTTTAATGTGTAAAATGAAGTGGCAAACCGTCCTGACTTTATAAATATGAGCTACAAGCATACTGTCATACCTACTTGAATTTGTGGTGGAATTACTCTGACAGCAGAAATGTGTATAAACTACTTAAGGTAATTAATTTATTTATTTATTTATTTTTAATTTTTTGAGCGTCGTTCCAGACCATACTCCATACCAGTTGGTGGCGGTAATGCACCTTTCAATTGTTTGCCAACCGCCAATACAACTGTAAGAAAGAAAGAAAGAAAGAAGTTTCAAGACTTTAGTTGGATGGTATCGGTTGTTGTAGCAATGTCTACAGTTCAGCATCTGAGAGAGGTTATCCAGGAGAGATTAACTACTGCTGCAGAAGAAATCTTCTCAGAGTTTGCAAAAACGATCGTCCGGTATGAGGAAGAGATCAGTCAGCTAAGACTGCTGAATATCAGACCCGGGATAAAGTCACACAATACAGGTGAGTAAACTTGTTGCGGTTGCGGGATCATTGTGTGATTCACGTGGGCATCAGCACCAACTTAGCGACTTTGTCGCTATATTTGGCGAGTTTTCAGACCCCTTTAGCTAGTGATGGGCAGATGAAGCTTCATGAAGCACTGAAGCTTTTCATCCAATTGATTCACCCCAGCGCAAAGCTTCTTGAAACTTAATTTGCTCTAGTAGGACATATACTGGATGTAAAAATATGAGTTGGCATGAATTTGAAGAGTGTGGCCTTAAATGTCAACAACAAAAGGAGTGTGTGAAACATGTATATTGTAGTGATGCAGTATACTGTGTATATTTATACTGGCAGTGTGGAAATGCTTAAAATGGAAATGATCATTTACTGTGAGGTGAGGTGTGGTTGGAGTGTTTTGTAACAGTGGTTGTGCTTTTGTAACGTTGAGGTATGGACAGCAGTCTTGCCTGTTCACATTTTATTCTGTAAAAACTAAATTTTCACTGCTTTTATGGCCTTTTTAGTGGGGAGAACATAGCTAGGATTTAATGATTTAACAAATCTTTTGAATCCTTTGTCCTCCACAATGCTAAATGGCTCAATCGCCATGCTAACCAGGTCTTCATCTATTTGAGATTGAGGAGGAAAGACAACAAAAACAAAGCACAAATATAAATATCACACACGTAACTTATTACAGTTGTATAATATTGTTATATCATTTAGTAACATTACTGCATGCTATATTATCATGGCATTTGATGGCTCACCTGGTCTTGCTCCAGAATCGGTGTTCCCCCTATTCACATGCAAAGCTGTGTAGTGCCTAAGCATGGATGAGGTGTTGTTGTTATATCCCAGCTCCCTGGCACATAGCAAACACTTCACCTTGTACAAAAGTAAAGCCGCTTAACATAAATTGTATTGCACCATCAGTATTATGAAAATACATCTTCTGTAGAAATTTACATACCTTGTTGGGAGGAATAAAATCACAATGTTCCCACACAGGGGAGGACATCCTCCTCTTCTTAGCTGGCTCCATTCTCTCCTGACTTTCTCTCCTCACTCTCATAAACCTCCAAACTGTCTCCAAACTCTCACTAACCGCAACTCTCCATCAAACACCTACATTTTGAATGAAGTCTGAGGGGTTTATATCGCTGTTTATATCTCGCGGCAAAGTTCGAACCACTTCATGAACCAGTCACGTGGTACAGCAGGGCAGCGAGGCTTCGGACGTCATCATTTTCAGCTCCTCCCATAAATGAAGCAAGCCTCGATACGCGCATCGCGGAAACGCCCCCTCCATTACTCGACACAGGCTTTGAAGCCTCGATACAGAACGTCACATCACTACCTTTAGCGACTCTGTTTTTCTAAAAAGCGACTAGCGACAAATCTGGCGACTTTTTCTTATTTATGACGATTTTTGACATGAAAGCGCGTATCGCTCTTCGCAACAAAGCAGCGGGTGCTTTCTTTCTTTCTTTGTTATGGGAAGAAATACTGAAATCATCATGATTGAGTAGTGATTTATGTAACTTTGTGTATATAATTTGGCATTTCCTAC